ACCTAACTTGTTCAGTAGCTGATTCTCTTCTTCGCCAGAATTTCAACTGACGCATAGAAGAAGAACTGATTTGAGTAGGGCTTGGGGTTTGATGGTACAGTCACCACATAGAGCAGGAAAGAGTTGTTATGTATGATTGAGCTGCATTATTGACTGGCTGATCAGAAATGAATTAAAGACCATCTTACAGCTGTGTATTTCAGAAACTCCTGTACAAGGTACTAATGACTCTTTCATTGTCACTTGTAATCTTGGTGGTGTTACCATCAATTACCTTTCTTCTTGACAGACTCGTTGTTGGGGGATGATAATGTTTGTTTAGGTCTTCAACCAATTACACGTTCTTTGACTTGTGACTGCAATGCAAACTTGAATTCGTCAATTACTTGTAAATCACACACATTGGGTTAGCCGAGAGGCTTTGACTTACAACCTCGAGACACTAGGCTGCCTTAATCTCTCATCCAAGTCCTTCCCAATGGATTTATGATTTACATAGATTGATTTGAGACAATTGAAAGTTGAAGGGCATTTAAAAAGCTAGGGTAAAATTTAGGAGTATCTAGGGGTATTTACCCTTAAACTTATGACAAACACTGGCTACCTATATTTTTTCTTATTTCTGCTTTGATATTTTTTTCATCTATACTATTGGAAAAAGAGTAACTGCACATTCACCACTTTGCACACACTTTTAGCACCAACCCAGTATTTAAAAAATATTTCTAAAATCAAACACAAATTATGCACTATTCTCTATGAACCCATATTACAATTTCATTCTTAATAGGAAAAATTGGTACAATACACTGGAAAATATTTTCCGATTTCTCCCTAATTTTCTTGAATTTTTCATGGACCCAATATTTCTATATAGGAAACAACTTGAATATTATGAGTGATAAATCTAAAGGTAGTTTAAGTGGTAACAGTAACGAACTATAAATTCAGACGTTTTCAGTTCGAATTTTGACAATATTTGAATATTTAGTCTTCGAGTGGATAATCTGTTCTTAATCGGATCGAGAAAAAAATTAATCGAGATGCACATAAGCTGTCTTGAACACCCTTGTCGGTTAAATAAAAAAAAAAATGTTATGAGTGATTAAGACACCAAAAGATTTAAAATATTTTAATGGTATGAGTATGGGAGTTTTTAATTTTATTAAAGATGATGATCAAAGCTATTTAGGACCCATTATATAATCCTCATTGTCTTTTTGGGAAGGTATAAATCCTCGTTGTTTCCAATATAATCCCATCAGATAGTTCGGATAGAAATATGTCACCGCTCGAGGTCCTAAGTTTGGCTTTTTACTCGATTATATGTGATTACGATGATTTTTTGTCAAAGAAACACTTGGTTGTGATGATTTTTTGTCACAAAAAATAATACTGAGTTCCCCCTGCTCCTACCAACGTCTCACATCAAAAAAGTAATAAAAAATATTCTCAATAGGGTAAAAATAATAATTATTCTTTGAACGTTGTTTTCGGTTTTAGTTTGGACCCTGAACTTTCAATTTATTATCAACTTCGTCTCAATTAAATCCTTCCGTCAATTTACATTGCTAATCAACAGGAGATTAGCACAATCTGACCCATTTCAACAGTGATCTAACGGTGTAAATGAATCGAATGACTTAATTGAGATAAAATTGATAGTTGAAGGACTAAATTAAGATAATTGAAAGTTTAGGAACCTATCAAACTTAATGTCCAGCCTTCCTGCATTTCAAGACAGACTAATGTTTTTAACACCTCCTGCTTTCATAGAGATATTTTCTTCTCTGACAAATTAAAATATGATAACAAAGTTGAGGGACTAAACTATATCTTTTACATTTGTTCATATAACTTTATCTATACAAGCTAATTGTTAGCTCACTTTAGACACTTAGCATTTATGCAAATCAAATCTAGTTGGTAGGGGAAGAAGACAGTTGAGAGGAAACTTTTAGTTTCAGATCGAAATGTAGTTGGAATAAAATCTCTTTGCCTCTCTTTCTCTCTCCCTCTACCTTTAACTTTTGTCGTAGTCCTATGTAACAGTAGAAAGATAGGCAAAAAAGAGAACATGAAATGCCACACCATCACCAGAATATAGTAGTTGGAAGTTTGGGTATTTTCTTTCAAAATACAAAATCAAAAGCTATGGGTTGGCCTATTCAGGTCAAGTTACAACTCAAACAAGGCAATTTACTACTCAATATACTCGGAGTAATATGGATCTACAGAACAGGAAAATGATTTATTTTAGGATCAATCCAAAGTGTTTTGATTGTTTCTTTGATCTCATTGAACATTAATTTTTCCTTTTTTTTTTTGATTCAACGGTCATGGATGTCCGGACTAACTTACGTATATCTCGACTAATCTCTTCTCTGGTCTAGTCAAAGACAGACTATCCATACTAGAACTAAATATTTATGAAAAATAAATCTCTCATGATCAAACCTCAAAGAGTTGTCAAAATTCAAACTCAAGATGTCTAGATTTAAAACTCGTCCTTATTATTACTTGAATTACCTCATGTTATAATTTTTCCCAATTTTACTTTATTGGATCGTCACTTATCCCAATCCCAATTTTCCTTTCAAAGATTCCAAGAAGATCACTCCTGTCCCTTTTCCTCTTCATAGCTTTTTTTGCCTATTTTGGCACCTCCTCTTGCTTGCAGTCTCCACCAACCCAATGTCTCCTTCCTCAAGTATTCTTGTATTCTTCCTTCATCTTAACTTCTCTTTCCTTCTCTCTTCCACCCAAGAAACCTTTGATTCTTCACACTTTTTATATATACCAAATGAAGCCTTGCTAGATAACTTCTTCGTTACAAGAACCACATTAGTCCTTCAGTTGTTTGAGCATATCTCAAGTGTTTGATCATTGTCCTCAAAGAAGAAGAGGATTGAAAACCACATTGTGAAAGCCAGATAGAAGAGATGGGTGCTAGAGTTCTTCATTGTTGCATCTTCTTTCTCTACTGTTTTTCCTTCATTTCAGGTAGATTTAACTGTTTCTGTTTGGATTGTTTCCTTCTTTGCATTATTTTCTTCTTGTTTATAAGCATAATACTCGCTGATTATCGAACTCGATAATCTTAAAAAAGATGAAGCTTGCATAATGGTTCGTATGAAATTTAGGACTAAAGATTCTTATCACGACCCATTACCTTTCTTGAAATTGACACAAAAAAGATGAAGCCTGCATAATGATTCGTATGAAATTTAGGACTAAAGATTCTTATCACGACACATTACCTTTCTTGAAATTGACATGATGGTAGTGTGTATGGATTTAAACTTGATCAATTCGCGTCATAACCAGTTACTTGGCCAAATTCTCTCAATAAAACTGTACACTTGAACCCGATAGAAAGCAATATTCAAGGACGAAATCATTCAAACCATTGCAAGTGCAAAGTTGCTTGCTTTCTTGGATTCATCTAACAATCTATTCATATCATTCAAACTCATGTTATTAGTTTTTTTTTTTTTTTATTGTGTCATAGTTTTCTTTCACATTTTTGGGGCTACCCAGATCGTCTCTAGTATTAGATTCTCTCAATTTTAGAATTGAGAGAATCTAATACTGCAGAGGATTAAGGTTTGAGGGTACGTAACTACTTCTCAATATCGTGTTCAAGTCTCCTTCTATCATCTTATTTTTTCAGCTACTTGATTTTAAACGGAACCCAAGTCACTCTTTTGAGACATTTGATGTAGACTTTCTTAAATGGAATTAGGACTGCTTACCACTTACTTCTTCTAAGATCCCGCTATAGGCATGGGAATATGTGTAGGAGTAGAATCGTTTAGACAAGGCACCATTTATGGACATACCTGGTTTTGACATGATGTTTTTATGCAATGAAAACTTTGTCATTCTTAAAAGGAAGAGGGAAGGAAAGAACAACTTAAAGTAACTCTTACTTCTTCAGGTTCAAGCCTCCCAGAGAAACCAACTCCTGAAGCAATCCTGCAAAATGAAAGGCTGGACAATCAAGTAGACAGAATGATGTTCTCACCTTCAAGTTTTACCACCCAACTAGATGGCGATCCAGGAACCATTCCCATCGTCAATCCAACAACTCCAGCCACAACTCCACCAACTACGACAACTCCAATAGTAAACCCGCCAATCCCACCATCGCCAACAACCATGGTACCACCAACTCCGACCACAACCACCCCTGTATCTTCGGGAGGGACTTGGTGTATTGCCAGCTCCACTGCTTCACAAACTGCTTTACAGGTAGCTCTTGACTACGCTTGTGGCTATGGAGGTGCAGATTGTTCAGCAATTCAACCAGGTTCAAGTTGTTATGAACCCAACACGCTTCGTGATCATGCTTCTTTTGCATTTAATAACTACTACCAGAAGAACCCAGCTCCCACAAGCTGCGTTTTTGGAGGAACTGCAATGCTTACCAACACCGATCCAAGTAAGCCGTGAAAATATTCCAATTGAACTGCTTTTTCCCTCTCTGCTAATTCAATATTTTCAGTAAACTAATCCATGCCGGAAACTCCTTGTTAGCATCATTATTAGAGTTTAATTTTTGTTAAGACAAGGAAAAGAGATGTAGTCAATTTCCCTCCTCCAAAACTCATTCTTGTATATTTTTTTCCCAAGAATTCTTGCTGAATCTTGCAGTCACGCTTAGCTGTCTCATGTTCTGATCATATTTTCTCAGACAACCCCTGTACCCTTACACTCCCTCATCTGTAACATTTTTATACTCCTTACCTTAACAGCGATGACAACACATCTGCTAGGACTTGTCTTTAACTTTCGATCTTGTTCTTGCATTACTGCAGGTTCTGGAAACTGTCGTTTTCCATCGTCGAGGACTACATCTACAACACCAATGCCACCAACAACTCCAACAATACCAATAACACCACCCAGGTAAAATTCCACCACCACTTTGAATATCATTTCTCCGGCCATAAAGGAAGGAAAATGAAAATCATATGATTGTTTACAATTACAGCATAACATCACCTGTCAATCCGTACACCACCCCCAGTGGACCAACAGTTTACACAGAACCAGCAGGCTATGCTGCAGAACCAACAGGGATACCCAACTCAGCAGACTCCATGTCACACAACCTACTGCTACTCTACAGCACGGCATGTCTCCTAATGTCCGTTCTTGTGTCAAATTATCTCTAAAGTGATGGAAACGAAGTTCAGTTACCCTACTACAATGGGATGGTGATTCACTTGCCGGATGCACACTTCATGCAATTTTAAGGAGGCACCGTGAATTCCCAATGAGAGAAATCTTGGCCTTGTTCTCACTGGAATATCACTGCTATAGTTCATAAATGTATGGCTTTTAGTTGGGATGGGAAGCCAGGGGAAATGAAGAAGAGCAATGTCGTCTAGTTTGTTCTTTTTAGCTACTTTACTCGCAATAAATTCAGACAAGCCCATCGGGTTTTAGGACACTCTCAGTAACAAGACATGTACAATAGCCATCAACTGACTCAGAGACTAAAAGACTAACACAAGCCAAGGCACTCAAACCACAACACAAGTACCCTTTACTAGTTTTGGAGTTTTCGCCCTTTGCTTCCGACTTTAAAGTGAAGGTAAATAGTGAAATAAGTTCCCAGTGCAAGCATGGAGGCTTTCATCAAAACAAAGAGAGAGGCCCGATTGGTGCTTTTTTGTGTCCTAAGCCAGGTGAAAGGCGTGCTTTACTATAAATAGATTAGAATAAGGTATTAAGAAACTACTAAAACTGCTATTCCCGTTGTATTTTGGATATAAGACTCTTAGTTTCCAGCGAGCTACGTGCATAAAATTTTTTGACTACAAAAATGATTCCTCCCCCGGTCTCCGTTGTACTGTGCTTTCCAAGTGTGCTTGTTCCCCTTTTCTTCCTTATCATGGCAAGTCTTTGTTAAATAACGCCGATGAGAAGAAAAAATAAGATGTTAAGAGACCTTCATGGCCTAATCCTAGACACTCTAAGAGCCTTTTTCAAACCTAGCCATCAACCGACTCAGTGACTAAAAGACTGTAAGAGTAAAAAACTACGGCATTTCATGTTAGAACTATATCATAACATTATATATGCTGAACTATATCATAGCATTATATATGCTGATTGTGTCTATTACGAAAACAAGAAAGCATAGGCATTAATAGTCACAGATGGTAAGAGGAGTAGCATCAATAATATTCATTGTATTGAATGTACGCCTCTCAGCAATCCACAGGGATCTTTGGTTTTCAATCAAAAAAAGCAAAGATATGGTTAGGGAGTTTGATGAGACTCCCTTAAATTGGAAAAACCCACCAAGTGAGATGAAAACTTACTGCGGTTTTATGTTTCCACCTAAAACCCAAAAATGAACCGGCAAACACATAGTTATTAGAATTCATTAAACCACTGACGACCTACGATTTGGGTACATCAATCTCAAATGAGGTGGGTTCGCGATCCAGATAACTAAAATGTACTATCCCAAATTATAATACTAACTCAAAATCGACTAACTTTGGAACATATAACAAAACTATAAAATACATATTAGTTGACTATGTGTATATAGATTTATAATTATATATTATTTTAGATAATAGAAAATCGAGTACAACTTTGTGTTTATGAATGTTCTATGATATATAATATTGTATAATAATAAAAACTATCTAGATAAAAGTTTCAAAACAAATTGCGACCAAAAACACCGTAATAGTTAAGTCTACCCCTATCGTACCATATACTTAAAAAAGTATCGTACCTCGTCCTCGAACCCATATCACGTAGTCATACGAATAACATCAAACCCACCAAGTTTGATGAAAATTTATTGAGATTTGATGCTCCCACATTGAACCCAAAACGAAAAGCTCCACTCTGGACACAACTACAAGACTTCATATGAATTGCAGTACCCTTTACAAGCATTAGGATCCTAAAGAGATTATTAACAAGAAGCCAAATGAGAGTTTAATATGCGGATTATCATGAGAACTCCAAAGCTATATCTTATGTAACAACTAGCAAGGATTTTTTGAAGATTAACATGTCACTCTTCAAATAAAAACTACCTTTATCATGATTATGACTTGCTTGTTTTAGTAGAGCAAGGCCACAACTACTTTTAAACAGAAGTATAAGTCAGTACAATTAAGAAAAAGGCGAATAACTATGACAAACACAACACTAGCAACCCAGTTTGACTTTACCTCAGAATTCTGAGTGCAAGGTACATTTAACAGGTTGCTTGCAGGTTTATGAAGACACTTCAAGTCAGCCTAGATGTAGGTCCCTAAATTTGCACGCGAGATTCCATGCCGACTTAAGGCAGTTGAACCCTTACTGAAGTTTATTTGGTTCGAAACCATGTAGCCCTATGAATTAGGAAAGTCTACGGAGATTGCAACATTGTGCTCTCTGATTTCACTTATCCATTTGGAAAATTCACTTTAAGATAAAAATCAGTTCTGTCAAATGAACACAAAGTCAATAACCACCAGTCAATAGCTGTTTAACATTCTGTTGTAAATTTTTTTCAATTTCCAGAAATTCTCATTATTCTTATGCTTATAATTCAATACTCAAAAGATCGAATCAATCTGATACCGTCAGTGCACTTATGTACTAAATAAAGAAAAAATTAATAATAATGCTGTGGTAACCAATTTATTATCCACAATATAGTCCCAAACATAATGGAGAGAGACAATTTGTATATTTGAGCTAATGAATAAAACATATTTTGAACAGATTTGTGATGTTATCAAGATTGTCACTCCATTAGAGTTTTTATTTTTTTATTATACAAATACTTATACACTCGTTTCTAACTCCTTAAACTTTTAAAAAAATTGATGGTTCAACATGGTATCAAGGTTTTGAATTCAAATTCCACTAGGCCTCTTCCTCCTTTATACATAATATAACAAACAATCGCATGAAGGGACCACCCATCACATGTGACGGAAATGTTACACCTGTCTGTAAAAGCTTAAGCTTTTAGAAAAATTGGTGGTTCAACAATTTTCAATTAATCATGATCTTGGCCTTTATTGGCATGATATCATTAATTGAGAATTCATGCTCAATCATTCTAATTTTCTGGTATGATAAATGGTGAACTCACAGTGGAGATCCATCGGAGAGAGAGAGAGAGAGAGTTAAGTGGAAGAAATAGTGGAGATCCATTGAAGATTTGTAGGAGTAAAAGACGCAGAGTAACAAGTAGCACCAAATCCCCGCCGATTTCTCTTTACAATCAGTTGAAAGTCTGTAAATAACACAGATTTTGATTAAAAAAAAACACTTCAAACTTCAACACAGGTTTTCAATCCAGTTCCAAAAAACAAATTCAGGATTTCAAATGAACATTCAAAACCTACCTCAGTGTGTTAAACCAAGGTAGCTAGACTTGGTTGCTAGATCGAGAACAAGAAGCCTAGTTTGATATGGCGGAGTTTTGGAAGAGAGGAAGTGTTTGTTGTGGAGAGAGAAAGGTTGTGCAGAGGAAGAGAGAGAGGCAGACAACATTTCGTCGTCTATGCTTTGACGTCTAATGGTTTCCCGACGGCAAAATTAGTATTTAGTTGTTTTTTTTTTTTTTTGTTTTGTTCCGGGGAAAGGAGAGAGAGAGAGGAGTAAGCCGAGTTGTGTCATCCTCCCTCGGAATTTTGATAATTTTTTTAGTTAAATTATGAGAAATTTATTTTTTGTAAATATTTTAATTTTAATGCGATTTATTTTTTCATAGATAAAAAAAAATTAATCAAAATATTCATAAATTGATATCTATATAATAAAGTAACTTACAAGTTAAATCTTGAAAGATAAAAAAAATGAATTTTGTTATTCGCAGTTAAGATCACTTTAAATTTTACTTTATAATTAATCTAACGACTAATATTAACACTTTTAATTTAATAAAAAATTATGCTCTTAAGGGTGTGTGTTTGGAATAATTTTTTAAAAGTAATTTTAGAAATTACTTCTCATAAATACTTTAAAAATAGTGTTTGAAACTGTCCCACCACTACCCCTCTATCGCCACCGCCATTTCCATTGCGGTCGCCATCCCATCAACACCACCATCACCGTCACCACCGCCGCCGCCACCACCACTGCAGTCGCCGTCACCACCCCCACAACAACTGTCACCCCCACCGCCCTTGTCACCCTTACCACTGCCATCACCACCACCCCCACCCACCCCCTGCCACCCAATCATCACATTGTCGCCACCCAACCACCACACCGCCATCGTCTCCGCTGACACCCCCCCACCATCACCCCTATCGCCACCATTGCTATAGCCATCGCCATCGTCGCTGCTACCACCACCATCGCCGTCGCCGTCACCACCCCCTATCACAACCGTCACCACCGCCACCATCTCCACCATCTTTGCCACCGTTACCATAGTCGCCACCACTGTCCACCACCACCTCTCACCCCCATTACAAATCAATGATTAAATTTTTTTATCTCTTCTCTATGTTTGTGATTTGATTTTGGATATGAATGTGAATATGTTTATTTTTATTACTCTATGTCTTTAGGTACAGACAATAACTAATTGTCTAATAAGAAACAAATAAATGGATAAAATAAATTATATATTTTTTTACATAGGGTGATTATTATTTTACTTGTTGGATAATTATTTGAAGGTGTAAGATTCACTTGTTTATTTATTATTAGATAATTACAATGCATAATAATATTGATATGGTATATCTAGTTCCTGTTATTCGTGTCAAGTAAGGCGCATTCATGTCGAGTGTTAATGTGTTCGTGTCAAAAAAGTTATATTATATACGATTAGTTTATTAATTTGTATCTAACGAATCGTGTTAATAGCTTCACATATTCTCTATTTATTTATTAATTATGTCATGTCGAACCCACTTGTTTACGAAATGGGTGATTTAAAACCATCTCCAATAGAGACCCAAACTCTTATCCAAATTTGAGTAAAAAAAATGATACTTGATTTGATATAAACCTCTCCAATGAAAAACCCTAAATTTAAAGGAAGAAAAATTCTTTTTTAAATGAAAAAACTTAAAAATTTTTAAAAAAATATGATCATTGAATCTTTAAAAGACACTGTAATTTCACTATTTGTAAAAAGAATAAAAATTTGATTTTTCCTTAATTTGAGTTTAAAAAATAATTTTTCATTTTGTATGAGTATTGAGAAAATTTTTAAAAACTTTTTACTTTTTTTTTAAAAAAAGATACAAAAAAAGGTAAAGGCCAAAGATACACTAAGGAAGACTCAAATTGAATTTAGATTAGATTAAGTTGTCAAATTATAGAAGAGATGAAAATTCAAGATAAAATTAGGTTCAATCATAAATTCTTTAGTTTAGGTGGGGTACTTTCTAAATTCTAATAAAATTATTTTAAAAATACACAAAACAACTCTAACTTGTTTTTTAAATCTAGTCAATTTTTTTTTTCAATATTAAAAAAAATACAAACCAAAATAACAGGTTAGACAATATTTTTTTTTCAGAAACTGTTTCCAAGAACAAAAAATAATTTTTGAGATGAAAACCAAATAGGATCATATTTTCATTTCTTTCACGTCACTTTCTATCACATTTTTCTATAGTATTTTTCTTTCTAAACAAACGGACTCTTATCTTCATTAACAATTCATAAAATGCAATATTAGCATTTAGCAACAGATGCCACAAAGGCATTGGACATGCACTAGACTGCATTTTTAACACCAGGTAATGACAATTAGTAACCATGTGTGGGGTAATATTATCCAGGTATAAACTGAACTGGAAAGAACAACTATCAGACATGAATTTCATCCCATAGTTACAACCTCAATGAGACAATCACATTCATAAAATCGCCACGAGAAATTCTATAATCACAGTCATCGTTCATCTGGATTTGGTAATCGTTTTATGATTGAAATCACGCGGGTACATGCCAATCAAAATTGGATCTTTATGCTAATACCTGGTTTTGAAACAGAACTGATTGGGGAAACTAATTTGTGTTATCTGGAAAGGATAAATCAGGTCAGACAATCAATCACAACACAGAAAGGTTAATCACAGAAGCACTAAGATTCCTTCACAACACAGAAACAGTTCAATATGCCAAAAATAATTGCCCTTTGGGTGCACGACCACCACTTAATTGGCAGCTTGATCTTTGAGTATAGAGAGTTCATCCAGCATTGAAATTTTTCCTTAGGAATCAAGAGTGTAATCTAGGCATAACCACCAGTTAAATGCTACAGAAGCTTTGGTGGAATAAAAGCAACAAATCACATAGTTGAAATCACTTACCATTCACATGATATCCAGATATCAATCAAATACCATTACAACAAGAACAAGGCTTTATTTTATTATCTCACACAATAACAAATATAATCTAGGAATTAAGAAGAGTTAGTGATAGGCATAAGAAGTGACAGCTCAGTATTTCATTATTCCTACATCAAGTTACAAGATTCACATTCATTCCGAAAAATTCTAAGGAGAAAAGGTCAAAAACAACGCGAGTGCACTTCTGTCACAAAGTTTTGGGAAACATCAACAATGCAATTGAAGATTGGTACCTATTATTATTGTAATTGGCGGCCAATCATTGTGGATCTTCACATGACCTGCATACAAGGCATTCAAGAGTGTGAAAGTGTACATAAAACATTTGTAACCAGCAGGGGTTGTAATGACAAGCAATGGTTGTCAGCTGGGTTTTGCAACTCCACAAACAATCATGTTTGCCTTTCCCATATCTAATATCAACAAAAAGGGATTTCATGTTAGGCTCTCTTCACAATCCTCATGGATCTCTAAAAATAACCTCCAGGCTGCTACCTAATCTCGAAACTGTTACCATTGAGAGAGATCTTAGATCCATCAACCCAAATGTTGTCTAGTGAAATGAGATCTTAATTCTTAACACACACAGCTCTGTCTTGGTCCACTGGCTCATGTCCAGTAAACTGAAATCCTTACTCCCAAACTTTCATGCTACACTATATTAAATTTGAAGTGGGTAGCAAAAAGTTCTATCATGGAACTAGCATCATTTATGAAATTTGCATACTAGGAAAATACATATTGATAGCAATGGCTGGTTTAGCACTCGAGCAACAGTGCTGTTCTACCCTAAAATATATACGTTCTTTTAGATGGTATATGGAAATCCTCAAATGCAAACTCATGACCAATTCACTCATTTGTTCCCCTAAGTAATGTTAAATCATTTGGACTTTTTAGCAGGTAACAACTTCTTTCAAAGTCCAACCTAGAAATTGTCCTAATTTGTCATTTATACTAGGGTCTACTTAAAGTTGACAGACCGAATATCATGAGAATCATAGCTGGAATTTTATTTTGTTAGCAGGGGGCATAAATATGACATTTGAATTATTTCTTTACAAGAAATATCATGTAATCAACATGAGCTGCATTCCCTTGAGCCCTAAATCTATTCCCCTCTATAAAATGCAATCACAAAAACCGATGAAAAAGAAAAGTGTCCCAGTGCACAAGACTCCAGCCCCTATAGGTTCTAGGGAAGGTTAGATGTACTTAGAATTGCTCCCACACGTGGAGTCATTTCCATGACTTGAATCCTTGACACTTAGGTCACAGTGGACCAATCTTACATTTCAAAGCCAATAGAACAAAACATAAATACCACAAGTACAACACAAGTGCAAGACAAAGGGAGAGAGTCCAGTGACCCATAACTAATCGTCTTATCTAATTTGAGGGAAAACATGAAAAACACAACTTGTACCCTGACTAACGGAATCCGTGTATCTAATATAGAGAACCAGAGTACCAAACCAACGACAACATAAGTCTAAACCTATTTTTTGAATCTCTCTTGCATTCCTTTCCATACCACCACAAAGATATTAAGAGGATTCCCTTTGGTAGACAATTGCGATTTAGCTTAGTTTCTGCAAGGCTGATATAACCCCAAAAATACTAGGCCTTTCCTATCTCTACTTATCAATATATTACATATTGATTAACACATACCAACCACAACATTAGAGATTTGGGGAAACAAAGTCGTAAAGATGAAGTTGAAAACCCCCAAAATTGTCTCTGCCAAAGGTCAAAATCATCCTCCTATATATTTAGAAAAAATCGTTGACAAATGTAGCAATGGAAATATTCAAATTTTGGACTCATTTGAAGGATTCCGAGGTTTATCCATAAGCTTTGTCCACAGAAGGCTCCACTCAGTTATTTTCCTTCCCTTTCCCGGGAATATATTTCCTCTATTCACTATATTGACGTATAAACGAACTTATTCATCTAACACAACAAGGTTTACTCAGCTAGATTATATTCTAGTTGTCTTATGTTGCCTTTCCCTGTCTCCACCATGGTTTCATAAAGAAGGATATAGAGCAATCTTTCACTAAAGACAGGAGAAGGACTTTTATCAGCAATTGCATCTGTCTCTATTCATAAGATCTTAAGGATTGCAGTGTAAGAACCAAGCCTTCCGAACTTCCAAATTTTTTTGAGAAACTTCACATTGCTCATCTAGACTCAATATCATGAAGACTATCATTTTAATTCTTGGGCACAGTAATGTTTAGTATTGTAATTAGACATCTCCAGTTATAAAATCATCCGGATAGCCGCAGACAAGTGATGTGATAATAGATTCCATAAACAAACAAGTTGTGAACTTAATCATATAAAAAGGGGGCCAATATCTATCTAATATTATAGCGAAGTTGAATTTTCATCTTATAAAAACACAGCGGTGGTTAAGACTGATCCGATTTCATCTACTTTAATCCCATAATATAAATTTATCTCAAAAAAAATTTTCCAGCTAAAAATATCATCTTCTGTGCATGCCCCTCAATGTTAGATAATTCAACTAACATACTCTTCAATGCCAACCAACCCTATTAATACACACTTACTTGTCTCTTATTTCTCCTCTGCCTCTCTTATTTTCTCTCTGCTCATTTTAATTTTAAATTGTGTACTTAAAGAAAAGAAAAGAAAAGGAACATAAATTACTATTTAGATTATAAATATTTCACAATCAATGTTTGATTTTTCATATAGTAAAGTGTCTTCAGGCAAAGAGTTATTACAAGTATCATTATATGGTAGGTTAACAATTTCACTATTTAGACTTAAAATGGTCATCACCATTTTTTAGTCACATCAATGCAGAGTGTTGGGAGGGATAGAACTAGATGGAAAACTAACCTCCAGCATTACTCAAACAGAATGGCTGCTATCAAACTCACCCTGCTTTTACCATCATAACTCCTAGATTACAAGTTACACAAATAAAATGTTTAGTGTCATCACAAACACCCTTGCCACTACTACCAACACCAATTACTATGTACCTTGTTTAACATGAGGTGGTTCAAATCTACACCTTCATACAGTGCTTGCTTTCTAATTTATTCAACAACCACTGAAGGTAGATACTGTAAGCCTGTTGCCCTTCCCCCTGCAGGAGGAGGAGGAATGAAAAATACGTGCAACAATGAGGACATGTGAGGGGAGTTGGATATTTGAGTGGTGTGAATGTGAGGGAGAGACATAGGGAAACTGAAACGGCGATATAACCCTCAAGATGGGGAGAGATATGATATAACTATGGATCCTCGAGCTATTAAGCTTATCACATTGGACTTATTCTTGTACAGTTCGAATTGGAACGCTTTGCAGTCTATGACGTGAAGCCAATACTAGCATTCAGCAGCTGTAAAGGAAATTTTCTGAGAACAATTCAAGCTCACATTTCTTTTAAAGAAATTGGCTTCAACAATTTATGAATGTTGTAGGTTATTATTACATTCCTGATAAGTGAATTTATCAACTAACTTAATATAATTATCATAGTTATTAAACCCGTGAACTCCTCCTATGTTTTTCAAGCACATTTATATAATCCTTGCTTGGAAATAACTATTTATCTCGAATTCAAAATTTTGAACAATGCTTTTGTGTGAAATTATTCTACTTAGGTATATTTCTACTTCATCGTGACATACATTCTGTGAACAAAACCATCCCTGACACGCTTATCAGATTCAACCAACAGAAATGATGGTTGAAATCCTCGTCCACTGTTTCTCCTAATCTTAAACCCTTGTCCACTGTTTTTGCTAGTCTTAACTATTGCACACAAAGGTTATATCATATTGATGGGTATAAGCAAATAACTAATGACAGAATCCGTTCATCATATCCCCAAAGTCAAGTAATCATTACATTACGACGGGCATAAGCAATATCACATTAAACAGTAAATAAAGTCCCTAGTTCGCAGAAATTTTTAAATAATAAGCGAGAGAAGAGTCTGTCAAAAATACGATTGCATACTGATGTAAACAGATATAACGCAATTTAGAATTCACAAAATTTACTTCACAACAAAACAATGGATATACATATGCTTGTGATTAGCTAAGCATCTATGACTGTACAATGCAGATATAGAGTATAGAGAAGCTCTTTGCAAGTACCTTTTCAACAATTAGATCGACCACCTATCTGTCAAAAGAGAATAGAAAAGAAAAGAAACAAGCACCAAACGCTGGAAACAACAGCACCAACTTATCCTTTTTTTATTCTATAGGAATTTATATCAAGAAGTAGAAAAGGATGTCTGATGAACATCTAAGGTGGAGGATAGTTTCTGCTTAAAATGAGATGACAGGGACAGGAGATGATAAAATGGGGGTAATAAGGAGAGGACAAGGGGTCTTATTCCTTGTTACCGAATCTCTTAGCAATGATAGGACGTACATCATCAGCATCAACCAGGGTCCCTAGGAAAGGAAGTAATGAAATCAATGCACAATCTGATGGGTCATCAAACCAACTCCTAATAGGAATCCCATTATTCACTTGCAACTGGAAAACCTGAGATCATCAAAAGAGAATGAAGCTTCAGTAAGCAGGTACTTAACTAACAGAAATTTTGGAAATTCATTTTATTCAGTATTTCAAAATGTAATAATATAATGTTCTTCACGTTACTAATAACGAACAGGACTAAATTATGTTTTCCTCTTCCAATGAAAGCATGACCCTCAAATTTGATCCAGATGAAGTATAATTCTTAGCCAAACAATCAGATCATTGTAACTTCTACCTCAAAATCTGAAACAAATCAATGGTTACATACCAGTCATTACCTCCCAACTCAATGTACCAAAATTTATAGCTGAAGGAAGGATCAGTCCAAATATATCCAGTATTTAATTTGTAGGGCAATATGTGTTGAACTCCTATATACATCTCCCATCACATAAAGGATAAAGCAAGATGATGCCCGTTCAAGCCATATTAAAAATCAAAGATCACAAAATGCTGAAATATTTGTCCATGGAGAAAAAAAGAAAAAAGGAGGGGGGGGGGGGAGAGAGAACCTAGCAGAGAACAAAACTGCCAAACTATTTACCTGTGGTGAATTATCAATTATTGCAACTTTTGCAAGATCCACACCTAAAATCGTTAAGTCCTTGGTGTAATTTCCATCTGAAAAAATGCATGACTCACGATAAGCTCGGCGTGAAATGATCTTTCCATCCGGATCAAGTATATCCAGAAGTTGTTTTGCATATATGCTTTGACTGGCTGTGAAGATTGCAATTTCAAATTTCTCTGCAACTCTCTCCAGAAAAGTCCGGAGGTAAGGCCGCTGTTTCACATACACAGTGTGCTCTTTCATGTTGAAAACCACTGAAAAGGTAAAATCCGCATCATTACAATATTCCAATGTGGAGTGGACTAACGTTTCTGCACACAAAAAGCCAGCATGAGCAAACCATTCGATTGTGTCACTAATTCTAGAAATGATTTCTGGAAAATACGATGAACCAGTGTCTGGAAGTTTTTTGAAGGAACTGGAACTATGGTAAACATCCAACTACATATACTATGATATATAATTTCATGAGATGTTCCCAAAATTGTTAGTAAATAATTAAAGAACTCAATTTCCTTACCATCCAAATCAAGAACTAAGGTTACAGATTTCACTTTCCGTGTTTCCTTTGGCAATAAGGTGGGCCGAAAACTGGGTGACACATCTGGTAGGTCTGGTAGATTTCTGATGAACATGTGTGGATCAAAAAACTCTGCTTCATCTGAGTCGGTACAGAAATTAACATCAGAATCCTGGTTGCAGGATCTCAATTGATGGATTGCTAGATATAAGCTTGAATCATCAGACTTTATTATGCTTTCTTCACGTGTTTCGTTATCATGGCCATTGCTTGTTTCCGTGGTATCCTCGAGGAAAGGTAGCATCATACATTCCTCAGCCACATTAAAAAACATACTTGGCTCATCACATTTGTAGTCAGGTAAGCAAGCTGTGTCTGGAATGTAATCATATATTGAGTTGTCTTCAATGGGTAAGCCAGAAAGTATCATGTCAGAAATGTTAAACTCTGAAACATTGCAAGCTTGATATTCACATGAACTTCCACCACTGTCGGCATCATTATCTTCAACCAACTGTGGAACATCAATATGTTTGTCACTCCCTGCAGAGAAACGAGAGAAAGGTAAGTGGTTGAAATCAATGTCATTAGCTTTTGTAACTTCTCTAGTTCAAAACTGGGCCTAAAATCTCATTATGTGGCTTTCCTAAACATGAAGAAATTCCCAAACTTAAGCCATGAATGGAATATCAAACAGAAAAAATTAGTCTATTTTCACAGAGATGTGAAAAAATCTTTTGAAACAAATTATTGGTGCAATAAGTGCAATCAAGTATCATCTTCCGGAAACATGACATAGTAAATGAGCTATAAAATGGGTCATGTATGAACTATGAAGACATAATAACATTCAATGTGGTACATGGGTGGAAGAAGAAACATGCAAGATAGGACAATGTGAATGCTTTTTCTTGTTATGTTTTAGAAAATAAATACTTTTCCACAACATAGTTTACATAAATATTTGATAGTTTGAATGTTAAAAAGTTACAACTTGTTAACAGACTTTCTTCTTTTCCACATAAACCATGGGTTGCAATCGGCAAATTATCCATGTCAAAGTCTTGCCTACTTTAACCAGACATTTAGAAGAACCGACTTTCCTAAAATTTCTGCATGACATAGGAAATTTCACCCAAATCCCCCTTTTAATAACCAGACAGAGAAGCAAAACTCTTTGGCTGCCAAAAAGCCCAGTTATAGGAAGCTTCAGGTGTGTTCTCCTACATGTTTAAAACCAAAACAAAAATTACTACACAAATCAGTTGTTGAACTGAATCCCAACAATTAAACACATAAATATATACAGCTATTGTAGCTTTCCACAGTTTCCTTCATATCCTGGCAACAAAGAACAAAACAACAGATAAAACTATCTTCCTACAAATTTTAGTGTGTTCATACCAAAAGTACAAGTCCGTATTTAAACACCACAATCTTCCCTAGAAAGGAATGAGCCACAAACAACAAAATTTCAGTTGTACCTTCATCAACGTAAAAATGTAGTTCACCGTGAACGTCCATGGACTCCAGGAGAGTTGAAAAAATTGTTTCTAGGTTTGAGGTGGCTGGTGTAGATTCCTGCACTCGGTAGAAACCATCAGTGGTTAATTACCATGACAGTACACTCAACATCTACATTAGTTCTTCAGAAATATCTCATAAAATGAGAACAGCACATACACCACATAGGCCACATGGATAAGTAACCTAAAAAGTAAAAACAGCAACCAGATCTGTATCTTTTTCAGTTATTTGCAGAAATTTGTTTGTAACAAGCATGGGCTTTTTTTCAAACAAACCTAAATTGGGACAAAGTTAAGATTTGTCAGTTGACCAATTAATGTTGAATTGTCCTCACGATCACATATCATAAATAAAACTTCCAGTTTTTTTTTTTTTTTGTTGCATTTTTTTGCCTGATACATTACCACTATAAAATATCATATTATACTCCTACATGGGAAGACCAAAACAAAAGGAAAATGGTTGTTTAACTAGATATCATAACATTCGGGCAAGAAGAATCTCTATAATTAGCACACTTTACCATTCTCCCAACCGTTTCAGAATTGATCAAAGGTAATGGCTGCTTCTGATACTGACAATTTCCTCCATCGAGCATATGGTTAGTTTTACCAGTCCCAATATCCTGATCATATTTACTCTTGCACAAAGAACCTGCAAAAAAAAAATCAATAAAATGAATTAAATTTAGGCAAAAAAATAGAACTTAATTCATCACAGAAATATCTCCAGACTACTAGGATATCGCTCCCAAACACACAGAACAAGAGAAAGCTCAAAAACCACACAATCAATATTGCTTTGCAACAATATCTTTGTTGGTCAATAAAATACTAAGTTTACATGTATGATATGGCAAATTTCATCATCTTTTGTAATTTTATGGAAAAAATTTCTGAGCATCTCTTCCTTTAAAAAATGAAAAATAATAGGACTGGTACTCCACCTACAGCCACTATAGGACTAAAACTACATTGACTCTTTACAAGTCTTTGGAGTTTTACATTTTACTATCTCTCTTCAACGTACAACTTTTTTTCCAGACATGCATCAAAATGTTAGAGCTTTTACTCTTATCTTCTTCCACATCAAAGAGAAACATAAAAAGAAACAAGAAAGAAAACTATTTTACAATGTCCTAAAATCCAGCCCATCACCTTTTCAATTCTTCACCAAAAGTACAAATTCTTGAAACTTTGAATACATTTCAAGAATTGACCATTGAGGGTAATGCTAAGAAAGTCAAATACTGAAAGTTGGAAGCATCTAGAGTAAAAACATACATCAACCCAAGGATTTCATTTTGGTGCATTGTTTTGGTCCCCCAAGAAATGATAACGTTTCAGAAATGTTGAAAAAAATTATTTTTAAAAAAGTTATGAATCATTGGTTGAGATATACAGAAACATCTTGAAACACATCAAACATTTTGAAATATTGGTTGAAACATCTGGACACATCTGTAAACACCTCTAAACATTCTAAAACAATTCGAAAATTTGGAATTTCGATTCAATCATTAATTCATTTCAGTCACCTTGAAAACGTTTATCCGAATTAATTTTTATTCTTGCACCAACCAGTACTAGGCAACATGCTTCCAAATGTAAAATAAAAGTTCTCAGATTCTTCTTCAGTATCACTATCTTTCAGAATATAAGCTTTATGATTCTCACAATATAACGACATTCCGAAATGCTACAAAAGTCATGAAATAATGCTACGCAGAAACACATACAAGAAAAAGTCCAGGTTCAAAAAGTCAATATCAGTGTGATTATGTCTACTTTTTTTGAATACAATCTGTTCAAAAAGTTCATGTTCCATTGCAATACATTATGTACGACACATACAACAAAAATACAAATACTCATTCAATGTCTTACACTAATCACAAACTCGACCATAAGTAACAGACAATGATAAAGAACAACCTGAAAGATAATACATTTCACCTTATTCTCACCAACAAAGGATTACATTCTCTGGAGAACATGCCTAGTGTGATTACAAAACTACATCACTCACCATCCTGGATATTAGGAATACATGTCTCATTTTCTGCTGCTTTTTGAGAGATCTTGACACGAGAGAGAGAATTCTTGGAAATCATACTTGACTTTTGGCATACGTGCAGGCCCTTTTTTTCTATTAAACAGCCCACAGTTGACTTGGTCTTCATTTTTACCGATGGCATTTGATCTGCAGTTGTGATATGTACCACAATCTAGATCTGAGAACATCAACAAGGAGATGAAACCCTTTAAACAAATAAATCAGCGGTCAGAGACAGTCACGGAAAATAATTGGAATTAGAAAGGAGAATCGAAACAGCCAAATATGAAGAGCAGCTGTTTGTAAATAATGATAGAGAATTAGATGCCAAGCATATATTTTTATACCAATGGTATATGCATCTATGTGTGTATGATATGACTAAGAGTATTAGAATCGATGGCGCTATAATTTGAACCAGACGAACTTGTAGATCAATAATCTACTTACTTTGCAATGAAGAAATGATCCTAGGAAGACAGGAGAAAGGTCCTCATCCTAAACATGAGTCATTACTCTGACCAAAAATCAATGATCCACAAAAACTTACAATGCCTTGTGCACATGCACTCCATGAATTTTGGTGAGGATTTCTACTATTGCGTTTATCCATTTTCACACAGCATTATGCCATCTGGGCATGAGAGCAAGAAACATGTTTGTAACAAATAACAATGGATTCATTTTTCCATTTGTGTATAACTTGCCTACTGATGCTGACATGGCAAGATCAAGATGGCATCAGCCTGTTAAATTCTGGATTAAAACCACAACATTTAATGTTCTTACTCCTTAGCATCAACTTTTAGAATTTCTTCTGCATGATTTTACAACAGTTCAAAGGGAGCAGTGATGCCCCTCTTTTCAGGGCTTGAAGATAAGATCTTTGTAGCTCAATGAGAGATAAAGTAAAGGAAAATCAAGATTTCCAGGAGAAGTGCATCACAATTGAACATATAATTCAAAAACTTGATGCTTATGCATGTTGAGACATAACATAGCCAGGAAAATTGTGTACCTTCCTTAAATCAAAATCAACCATCTACCAATGAATAGACAAAGAGTGGAGGCTGGAGAAAAGTATCAGGCTTTGTTTTGTAAAATGATTTCTTCGAACACTTATACACTAATTATGGTCTCAAACTTTATGTAATAGCAATAAAATTGAGCCCCCAAGACTTGATTTTTACAGCAAATTTTAGTTTTCATTTTCTAGAAACAGTTTGCAGCTCCCATATCACCTGAATTAGCTTATCTCTCTGAGCTCAAGTGATAGCAGTTAAGAAGATGGATCCGAAGTTTAAAATGAATAACTAACAAAAAATACAACTTTGCATGTCCTACTTGATGAAATATCGGACATTTTCCTTGTAAAACAGTTACCCAATGCAAAAACCATAAAAAAATAAAATAAAGGAAAGAACAAAATTGGGTAAAAAGAACAGAGCTTTCGGGCTAAAAACCACTAGATATGCGCACGTATGTGTGTGTGTGTGAAATATATACAATCACCCAGATGATTTTGTATATGGAGACACACGCACACACACATATGTATGTAGAGAGAGAGAGAGAAAAAAAGAACAAATTCTGGAACAGTTAATTCACTAAAAATGGAGGCAATACGAAAAAACCCACTTCGTAAAACAGCAAAACAATTCAAGTATTCGCACAGAAACATATATTCAATCGCACGGAAAATGAAGTCAACCCAAGTGGTAGAATCCTAGAGCACAATAACAATCAAAAGCACTGTACAGGATCACAAAAAAAAAAACAATTCACGGAGCCCAAAATTCATCACCACGTCCCAATTCAAAGCATAACCAACCCACAAAACATAAACCCTAGAAACACGAACCTCTTGAACTGAAATAAGTTACATTTGAATTACCAGCATAAACAGCAAAAAAATCACCTAGAAAAGAGACCCAACACTCATGAAGAAAGTGAAAATAAGTAATCGGCTGATAATTGTATAAATTTATACTGATAATTTCAGCTAGATAAATACACACCTCTGTAGCCACCAAGTCCTCTCTCCCTCCTCTTTCTCTGTCTTTGTCTCTCTCTCCTCTCGCCTCCAAAAGTCTTCAACTTCCACGGTAGAGCGGTCAGTAATGTATTCGCTGAGATGGAGTGGACGGTTGAGATTGATTCTTCAGCGAGTGGTTTCGACCGATGGAATTGTGCCACGTGGAGTCAAGTCAGGTCACATGATGTGTTGACACGTACAGTTTCGCGAAAAATGAGGAGTCGTGGAAGGAATGGCTGCATTGCTTTGCTGCTGATTAGAGTGCGTGTGATACACGTTAACAAAGGAGGGGTCTTAAAGTATGAGATTATTTTATTTTGATTTTTAATATTTTAATTGTATTATTTTAGTCCTTAAGTAAAATATTAAATATATTTTTATGTGATTCCTCAAATAGACAATGTTCAAATTATTAATAATTTTTTTATTATAAATTAGTCACGTAATACTAAAATATGGACAAAAAAATAATTTAGATAACTTTTGATCAAATTTTTATCCAAATTTTGGTCAAATAATCACCAAAATTACACATTTTTTTTATCATAAGTTATCTAAATTTTAGTCAAGAGTGGTATTTTACACATTTTTTGTCAAGAGCTCTCCATATTACACATTTTTTATCAAGAGCTACCCAATTTTTGATTAAGAGTTATACAAATTATTTTTTGTCTATATTTAGGTATCACGTGATAAATTTATGATAAAAAACTATTAACAATTTGAATGTTGTCTGTTTAAAGGACCACATAAAAATATATTTAATACTTTAAAGATCAAAATGATACAATTAAAATATTATGGACTAAAATAAGACAAATTTATACTTTGAGAACCTCTAATATAATTAATCATAATTCTTCATTATTTATCGTTCATTTTGAGTAGAGCCCATTATATACACAAATGAATTCTTCGGCCATTAATAGTGGTAGATGATCCACCAAGAAAAGAAATGGAATTAAAACAGCCCCGACGAACAAATTCTTGGTGAGAATCATCAATTTAAAAATATTTTAATAACAACTAACATTTTTTTAATAATTTTTTTTGGTTGTGTCGGTGATGATAGGTGGATCTAGTAATTGATCTATTCTGATTCTGATAGGTTTTCGAATTAATATGTTGTGTTTGTTTTGATTATAATATAGGATGAATAATATTGAAACATTGATTACAATCTAATTCATACTAGTAATGATTGATTCATTACTTTATCTTATTCATGTTAAATCATATTTGCATTATAAATCGGATAAAGTGCAAGTTCATTGTCTTAATAGTAATCTTATGCTTGAATGTGAGATTATTGTATGGTGTTAACTATAAAAGGACCAATTCTTACATTTTTTTTTTTATCGTACCACAAATATTTTGATCAATTTGGATGTGAAAATCAACCAGATCGTATTTTTATATCACTTGTTATTTGGTGGTAGTTTATACCAAATATATAGAGTTAAATGACATTGTAGCAGCATACTAATACTAATGTCGTTATTAAAACCGAGCCCTGTACTAGATCTAAAGTTGGTATTAAGTTACCATACACATGGGGATTTTGGCATTTAAGGCGGGCCATATAACCTCATTCAAAAGCGTCAAGTTACTTTAACAACTTGCAATATACCACCATTCCTTTAAATAACACAGACCTTGATTCAAATTTCTCTGACATTCACCACTAGCATGAACAATTGAAACATTGTTGTCTCACTTGAAAGTGGTACAAAGCACCAGAAATATCATGTCTCAAAAATACACATATCAAAAAGTCATTCTATACAATTTGTAAACACTCCCCCCCCCCCCCCCCCTCAACCCACTTTCTCCCCCTTCCCAAAAAGATAAATAAATAAACAAAATCATCAATCCAAAAATTTCAACTTTTTTTTTGTTTAACGATTAGGGATGACTTGAGCTACCCCTTTCGGATTAATATACGTCATTCATACAAATACCAAAAATATTAGAAAGTATTCCAAAATATAAAGCAAAGAGAGAAGGTAAAATGCACAGACCGATGATTTTCACATGTGCAATATAGGCTTATACTCCTTCCCTTGCATATGTCTCTGCTCACCGACTAAAAATGTTGATGCTGATTCTTCTAAAGCTATCGAGTAGAACACCATAGGCCCATATTCTCTCACCACATCATCCAGTGGTATAACATCGGACTCAGCCATTTTTTTGGCACACTTGAAGCACATGATTAGTGGTTCTTCTTCCTTGGGACCAAGCTTGCTGTGGAATAGCTTCCTCATGTTTTGAAAAAAAAAATTCATTGCCAACAACCATACTAAAATCTTCTTGTCTTTCTGCAAATTAGCAGACACTATGTTTACATTAATCTCTTTGGGAAATGATCATTGTCCACACCAATGACTTCTTCTTTTGAAGCATATTTAAGCATTCATTTTTAAATTAAATCTAGCACATGATTTCTAAAAGTAATACAATTTTTGGTTGAATACCTAAATGAATTACGTCATTTCCACTACATTTTTCATTTTCTATCTTTCTCTATAAATTTCTGATTAATTAACTCATCAAATAGAGTATCGGTCATCGATAGATTAAAAGAATATTGTTGATAAGTTGAAGGTGCATCTTCTTTGAAATGATGGCTAGATGGCATATTTATAAGATCCCCAATCTTTTTTAAGGTGTTACAGAAAACTGGTGATTTTTCTATGATCTATATCACATCGATTTTAATTTCTCCATTAAAATCTTGAAAATAAGTTCTAAGTGAACTATTTTTTCTTTGTTGCTCTTCTGTGAGAAACATCTCATATTTGGTAGCCATGATTAAACTCCATTCCTTCAAGTAAGTATCCATGTCATTTGTTTGATACCTTTATTGAATTTGACGATATACTGTCATGCAGATTCATACGATTTATATTTTAACCTTGACATATCTGTCATTGAAACCTTCATTCTTAAAAAATTGAGAATGAAATCGCTCTTCCATTTCTTGTCAAGTCTGAATTGAATTAACAGGTAAGTTTATGAAT